GGATCTCAGTCCCGACCAGGGATTGAACCCGCACCCTCAGCAGTGAAAGTGCCGAGTCCTGATTATCAGGGATTATCAGGGAATTATCAGGGAATTCCCCTTGTCTGTATTCTTTATACAAAAGTATTCTTTATACTTTTTTATACAAAAAAGTCAGGGTGGAATAGCAACTGGTGGTCATCAAACTAGGGAAAAAGAGGTAGGAGGCAGGGGACTGGGGGATTTGGGACTGGACCCCTGCGTCTGGCCCTGCATCTGAAAGGCCTCTTTGGGGACAGGCATTGAAGCAGTGGAGCCTTCCAGTTGCAGTCTGGTGGCAGTTCCACCTCCCTTTTCCCTCTCCCTTCCCTGCCTCAAGAAGCTTCATGCTTGCCCGTTATACCCAGAGGGACCCCCTGTTATCAGTCTCAGTGGTGAGGAGGGAGGCGATTTCATGCCTCTCAAACCGAAACCTTGGAATTGTCTCAGAGCCAGGGTGGAGGGTTGGGGTGGGAGCCGAGTGGCTCTTTCCTGACAGGTGCAAAGCAGTGTCTTCTCTGCTCAGGATCTCTTCCTTTCCTCATTTTCAGATGCCTCCTCCAGGAATCCCCCCACCTTTTCCTCCAATGGGGCTCCCCCCGATGAGTCAGAGACCACCGGCCATCCCCCCCATGCCACCTGGCATCATGCCCCCAATGCTTCCACCAATAGGGGCGCCACCACCACTCACACAGGTAATCCTCTCCCCTGTACCAGGGCCTCAGAAAACCCTTGTCATTTTAGCTGCGGGTAGAGGTGAGGGTGGATATCTGGACTTGAGAAGCTGGGGTGGGGAGGGAGGGAATGTAGGGCCAGGCCCAGGTGGATTTGTCTGCTGAATGGCTGGAGGACAGTCTGAGGCTCGGCTAAGAGCCCAGAGCCTGGGGATTGCCTGTGGAGGCGCCCATGTGAGGGTCACAGCCCCGACAGGATCTCTCAGGACCCTTCACAGCCTGTGCTTACCTTCACCTCGCTAGCTGGTTTTTGTCTTCTTTGTATCCATAGATACCAGGAATGGTACCACCCATGATGCCAGGGATGCTGATGCCAGCGGTGCCTGTCACCGCAGCGGTAAGCACTGAGAGGACAGGAAGTAGGTTCTGCCCTGCAGCCCAGTGGGCCTGACTTGGAGAACAGAGACATGGCTTCCATTCTTTCCCTCTTCTTATCGCATCCACCCTCGGCCCAGCTGCACTCCCCACACTGAGTCCTCCTCTCCAGTCCAGCCATGTACTCAGCTCTTCTAGTTTCTCACTCCTTCCCAAAGGCACATACATTCTCTCTTTTTACTCCCCCTGCTATGCCCAGCTCCCTTAAGGAAACACACTCATGCCAGACACTGCTTACCCTCACAGAGTTAGCACTGTGGACACTTGAATACAATTTCCTCTTCATCTTCTGTGTTTCTGGAGGAAGCAGCAGTACCTGGGGATCTCTCTGTACCTTCTTGTGCTGTTGTTCAGTGTAGTAGAGTCTGGGTACGATGTGGCATTTGGTATTCACTGTGGAAAAGATGTGCCACGGAGGTTTACTCAACAAAATACTCTCACTTGAAAACGAAGAAAAGAGCTGCTGTGCAATTTCCCTCTGGGGTCTTAGAGCCATGACCCCAGAGGGCAGGGGAAGCCTCTTAGGGAGCAGAGATCCCTGGGAGCAGGATACTTGGATCCTGGCCTGGCCTGCTTCTTCATCCCCCATGGCCTGGGTCTTGGGGGCCACTGGGCTTGGCCCCAACCCTTCCCCCTCCTCTTTCTTCGGCAGACGGCTCCAGGTGCGGACACCGCCAGCTGTGAGTCTTCTGGGGGTCTGTTCCCCCCAGGCTCGGAGGTTGGGGGGGAGAGGGGACCATTGGACTAGAGCCCACCCCGGATCATGCCTGTTGGGATGCCAGGGATCCTGGGATGTTGATGGGACCAGGGGATATTTATTGGGGATGGAATAAGGGAGGAATAGATGGGGATCAGATAGGGGTTGGAGCAAGGACTTAATATGTTTCCTTTGGCTTCTTTTCTAGCTGCTGTGGCTGGGACGGGCCCTCCGGTGAGTTCTTTCAGCTCAGGGGTCTCTGGGTAGAAAGGCTGAAAAGGGGTGCTAATCGTTAAATTTTTGGGGTGAGGAGAAGAGGCTTTGGGAAAGGGGCCTTGACCACCATTCTGTGCACCCTCCCCTCCCCTAGAGGGCCCTGTGGAGTGAGCATGTGGCCCCTGATGGGCGCATCTACTACTACAATGCTGACGACAAGCAGTCCGTGTGGGAGAAGCCCAGCGTGCTCAAGTCCAAGGCAGAGGTCCTGAGTGGGGCTTTCTGTCCCTTCCTTTCAGCTGCCCTGACCCTTCCATATCCTTGGCTTCCCCTGAGTCACTAACCATACACGTGGTTCCTCTGATCCCAAGATCCCTGACCATTCCCCGACCTCCCTAGGATCTCAGGAAGTCCACCTTCCCCCACGTTGAGCCAGGCCCGGTGGTCGCTAAACACTCCTGTGTCCCCTACTCACTGGGTCCCCTTAGCTCCCCCAACTGTGGCTGGAAGGTATGCCCAGCCCACTGATGTTCCCTGGCCCGTCCTCTTACAGCTCCTGCTATCCCAGTGTCCCTGGAAAGAGTACAAGTCGGACACAGGCAAACCTTACTACTATAACAACCAGAGTAAGGAGTCCCGCTGGACCCGGCCCAAGGACCTGGATGACCTGGAGGGTGAGGAGGGGGTGGGCCCAGGCAGGGGCTCTGGGTGTGGCCCTTGCTACCCTATAACCATGTTATCTTTTCCTGTTGCAGCTCTAGTCAAACAAGAGGCTGCAGGGTGAGTGACTTGCCCACCTTGCCTACCTATCCACCCGTACCTGGGGCCACCTAAGGGGTGGGAGTGGCCTCTCCCCATGATCCCTACTCTGTGGGAGGAAGAGCCAGCTCTCAGTCTCCTTGTGGAGTGGTCTGCTCTGGCCCCAGTCCTTCACAGGATAGAAAGACCAGCCAGCCCCTGACCACCTCTATCCCTGCTCTACTGGACACTGCCCTTCCGGCTCACCTGCAGGAAACGGCAGCAGCCACGGACACTACAGCCTCAGCCTTCTCAGCCACAGCCTGACCCCCCACCTGTGCCACCTGGCCCCACCTTGGTGCCCACGGGCCTCCTAGAACCTGAGCCAGGTGGGAGTGAAGATTGCGATGTGTCAGAGGCTGCCCAGCCTCTGGAGCAGGGGTTCCTGCAGCAGCCAGAGGAGGGCCCCAGCAGGTGAGGGCTGCCCCCCACGGCATTCCAGACACTGGCCTCAGGCTCTCAGCTGGGTTCAACCCTTGACCTCTGCCAGGTTTCTCGGGAAGGGTGTGAAGATCTGGGCATAACCTCTGAGGAGCAGAAAATGGCTTCCCTGGGGAGCAAGGGGGAGTGTCCTGATCATGCAGGGCACTGAAAGCTATAGGGACTGGGGGACGCTGTGGCTGAGTCCCCTTTGCCCCCCAGTTCTGCTGGACAGCGTCAGCCACCACAGCAGGAGGAAGAGGAATCAAAGCCAGAACTGGAGAGGTCTGGCCTCAGTTGGAGCAATCGGGAGAAGGCAAAGCAGGCCTTCAAGGAGCTGCTGAGGGATAAGGTGCTGAGAGTGGGGCTCCCAGGGTAGGCCTGGAGGGGGCAAGAGATGGGCAGGCCCCATGACCCCCGCCTGCTCCATTCCAGGCTGTCCCCTCCAATGCTTCGTGGGAACAGGCCATGAAGATGGTGGTCACCGACCCCCGTTACAGGTAGGTCTGGGCAGGCCCTCCAGACCTTGTTCATGGGGGCAGCTGAGCCAGGGATTCCCCAGGAAACCCCAAGGGGGCCAGAGTGAGGAGAGTGGTAGATGGGTGAGTGTGCTGGGAAACAGAAGCTGGAGAGCCTCCAGGAGAAGGAGGGGAAAGGGATCTGACATGAGACATTCAATAAATGCTTGTTGAATTGAATTGATTTGAATTGAATTAATTGGGGAAACAGGGGGCTGGATAGGGCAGGGGCCTGACGGCAACTTGAGAGCCCCAAAGCAAAAGGGCCCAGTGTTAGCAGTGTCTTAGAGCCCCGTCTTGTCCCCTCACTGCTTCTTAACCCTCCCCACTTCCCAGAGACCTACCTGCCTTGCCTCCCTGTGCCCTTGGAGCCCCTGCAACCTGCTGTGCCCATGCATGGACACTTGTTAGTTCTATGAGACCTGTCCCCAGTGTGCCATGACCCTGCTTTGTGGGCTGTGCAGCGTGGTTCAGGCTGACTCCTCTGTCCCCATCCCACTCCCACCCTGTCCACCCCAGTGCCTTGCCCAAACTGAGTGAGAAAAAGCAGGCATTCAATGCCTACAAGGCGCAGCGGGAGAAGGAGGAGAAGGAAGAGGCCCGGCTAAAAGCCAAGGAGGCCAAGCAGACCTTGCAGCATTTCTTGGAGCAGCATGAGCGCATGACCTCCACCACCCGCTACCGGTCAGGGGGCCGGGCTGGGGTGGGGCCTGGGAACCCTGAGAACCTGTGGGCCCAGTCTCTGTTCTCTGCCTGCCTACTCACGGCCCATATGCTCCACAGGCGGGCAGAACAGACCTTTGGGGAGCTGGAGGTCTGGGCTGTGGTCCCCGAGAGGGATCGAAAAGAGGTTTATGATGATGTCCTTTTCTTCCTGGCCAAGAAGGAGAAGGTAACAGTCACTGGGCTGGATCCATCAGTCATAGTCTCATCTAAGACCTTCCATGTCTTTGCTTCCTTGTGGACCCAGCCATTCCCTTCTTGCTGCCCCCAGGGTCGCAGCTCCTTACTCAGAAGCTGGTGTGGCACCTACACATCCCCCATTTATGCTTTGGGCCTACAGCTCTGGGTGTGGGAGAACAGGAAGGTCTCTGAGGGCTTGGTCTGTAAGCTGTTTCCTTCCCCTTTCCGGGGACATGAAGGCCTCGAGTCTGGCCATCCCAGAGTCCCCAGACTGCCTGCCTTTCCCCAGGTATTCCTCTACCCAGGCCCACTTGAGTAGCTCCAGCCTGCCCTGCCTCACCCTGACCCTGTGGCTCCCTAGGAACAGGCCAAGCAGCTCCGGCGCCGCAACATCCAGGCCCTGAAGAGCATCCTGGATGGGATGAGTAGCGTCAACTTCCAAACCACATGGTCCCAGGCCCAGCAGTACCTCATGGATAACCCCAGCTTTGCTCAGGACCATCAGCTACAGAGTAAGCCTGGGTCTCCACTCCTTCCTGTCCCTTCCCGTTTCCTCACTGACCCCTAGCACCAGCCTCAAACCACTCCCCTGCACCTCTTGCCCTCCTGGATGTCTAGGAGTCCCCAGCACTTCCTCAGCCCAGAACCTCTCTGGACTCTGGAGATCCCAGAGTGCTTCAGGACACCTCCTTTCTCCCTCCAGGGTCCGCTGTTGACCTGGACAATGTGTGTCCTTGGGGGAAGAGCACTGGGGTAGGAATCAGAAGACTTGGAGATGATTTTTATAGCTCATGTGAATATGGTCTTAAATTGCTTGGTAGGGTGGGCCTTAAGTGGTCACACATGTTGCAATAAGCTGCTGTTGGCCTATCATCACAGGCAGTATCTTCAGATATTCACCTTCTGAAGTCATATCAAAGCCTGATTGATTCCCAGTCCCATAAAAAATGAAATCTCAGATCCTGAGATAACTGATTTCGTATGATGACTTCTAGTTACCAAATTCACAAGAGCTGAATACTTCTCATTTTTTCTCATATAATCAAGGAACCCTCCTCAAGAACCATCATTCCAATAGCTTCTCCTGCAGAGTCCCCTGCTCCCCTAACCCCACCACCCTGGGTGTCCCCAGCACCTACAGGGGCAGCATCTTTGAAGCACTGGGGGTTCTGGGTCTGAGAGGGTGTCCCACTGGTGCGGTGCCCACTGAGCCTCCTCCCTGCGGTTAGATATGGACAAGGAAGATGCGCTGATCTGCTTTGAGGAGCACATCCGTGCTTTGGAGAGGGAGGAGGAGGAGGAGCGGGAGAGGGCCCGGCTTCGGGAGCGGCGCCAGCAGCGCAAGAACCGGGAGGCTTTTCAGGTAGCTTTGCTGCCCTCTGGATCAGAGCTCAGCTCTGCCCCAGACCGTCACCTCTTCACCCATGCCCTGCCTCTTCTCGGCCAGTCCCACTGCTTTCTCTATGCCCAGCCCTGTCGCAGCTCCACAAGGTCCCTCTGTGCCTGCACTTTTGCTCCCGCTGTGTCCCCTCAACCTTGGGCTGTGCTCCTCTAGGGAGACTAGACACCTAGTCTGCACCACCCAGAAACTGCCAGCAGAGAGCGCCCTACAAGCGTGGCTCGCCAGCTAGGCCAAGTTTATTTCCCTTCACTGGGGAGCCAGACAGGCATAGCTAGCTTGTCCCCCAGCTTGGAGGTGGCATTGGTATTGGTAGTGGTGGGGGTTACCTGGCTGTAACACATTTGGGAAGTTGAAACTAAGTCATGGGAAGATAATGCTGCAGGCAAGTTTCCGCTTCTTTGCTTCCTGGTCCGGCTCATTTTCCTTTTAAGTCTGTCCCCTTCTGTTTTACACTCTCTGCTTTCATATTGCTCTCTGCCTCCCCATCTGTATCTCTTCATCTCTGCCTCTTGCCTGCATTTCCTCCATCTGGGTTGTCCCTGCCTCTCTCTGCCAGCTCTTGTCTTCTTCCCCAGTCTTTGGCTCTGCCTCCCTCCCTTTCTCACTCTCCCTGTAACTGGCCTCTCCCTGCTTAGACCTTCCTGGATGAGCTGCACGAGACAGGGCAGCTGCACTCTATGTCCACATGGATGGAGCTGTACCCAGCGGTCAGCACTGATGTCCGCTTTGCCAACATGCTGGGCCAGCCGGGTAAGGCAGCTGGGCTCCCCCTCCTCTAGCCTGGCTTTCTGCCCTGCCAGCCTCTCTGCACTCCCACTCCCTGGTTCTGTCCTCAACCCCACCCTCAAACCTTGGGAAGCTGCCGCCCGCCAGGCCCCCCTCCCTCCCTTCCCCGCAGGCTCCACCCCTCTGGACTTATTCAAGTTCTATGTGGAGGAGTTGAAGGCACGATTCCATGATGAGAAGAAGATCATTAAGGACATCCTTAAGGTGAGGGAAGCCTGGGCCTGTGGATGGAGGCAGGCTGGGTGCAGGGCAAGCTCCCAGGACAGAACTCCCCAGTAAGGCCTGTTTTGTGGGAGCATTGCAGCTCGGTTCAGGAGATAGCTACTGTGATCCTTTACTGTGCGCTGGGGACACACAAATGAATAAGATACAATTTCTGCCCATAAGGAGCTCATGGTCTAGTAGGAAGATGACATGACAGTGGCTATACAGTGGGGCAAGTGTTAAGACAGAGAATCGAAAGAATTGCCATTTGAACTGCACCTCTAAGAACGAGTAGGTGGAGTAGGGTGGAGGTCCTGGGCGTAGGGTACCACAGGAGCAAAGAGGAGCGAGCAGCACAGCTAATCATAAACTGTTAGCCCACAGATATGTTCCTTCTGCCTGTACAGAGTTTTAGAAAAATTTGGAATTTGATGCTAACATTTTAAAATCAAGAGATTACAATTAAAATCTGGATCTTCAGCGTCTCTTGGAAATTTGGATTATCTAGCAGCACTAGGCTCGTTTTGTGAGGCATTCAGTGGACTTGAGCTGAGATGCCACTGCCTTTTAGAAGGGGCCTGTCCTCCTTATCTATCCTCACTCCTCCCTGTCACCTCCATGATATGGGAGCAAATTCACCTGCCATTTCTGATCGCACGTGCACGTTGGGAGAATTCTCAATATCCATGTCTATCAAAGGGGGAAAAGTGAGTGATGGACTAAGAGAGCCCCATGTTTCAGAAAAAGATAACAAAGAGAAGCATGTTTCTTTGTGGAAGTGAAGACCATTCTCATGGGTTTGAGAGGGCAGTGTGGATAGTGGTTAGGAGCAGGACTGTGAAGGCGGACTACAGGGGTAGAAGTCCAGCTTAACCACTTACAAATTGTGTGACCCTGAGCAGATTACTTAATCTTTCTGAGCATGTTTCCTCATCTGAAAAATGGGGAGTATTCCTTCAGACTTCACCTGATTACCAAGGGGAGTAACTTGGTACTTGAGGTGGAGAGGGTCTGAGAATAAAGTGGGGAATGTCCCACTGCACACACATTTCTTTAAAGTCCTGTGTTTTGCCTTAAGAATTCATGCAGGTGTTGCATTTTAATACCATAATACTTCTCTGTTAATATAAACATAATATTTTTAAATTACTTACCATTAGGTAAGATGTATCATAATGTCCTGTGGCTTCCTCTGTTTCTCTGGAACCACATGCCCCAGTTGGGAAGGAGAGCCCTGCCTGTAAAATTCCTTGAATGCTAAAATAAGGAATTTGGATTTTTATCTTGTAAGTAATGGGGAGCTGGGAATGATGTGATTAGCTGATGTCTTGGAAAAGCCCAGGTGGTTGTGTAGAGCAGCACTTGCAGCCAGAGTGCTTGTATGCTTAGGGATAGGCGTGGTAGGAGGACAGGACTCGAAGCCTCAGGATACTAGAAGTGGTAGTGGCCAGTGATTAAGATAAATTCTGAGCTTGAGTCATCCTCTTCTTACCCCCAGACCGCTTTCCTGCTGTTGGGGCCATTTGCTAGAAAAATCTGGGCAGCATGGACTCAAGGCAGTGTTCGAAGCATGGGGGGTGAGTAGGGAGACCAGGCAGGAGCTGCTGCAGTGATCTAGGTGGGAGTGAGCTCAGTGAGGGCAGTGGGGATGGCCAGTGAGCAGAGCTGTGATGTTCCAGTAGTTTCTGAAACTCCCTAGGTCTCCTCAGAGGGGCCTTGGGACAAGCCGGAGGGGGTGGGGGAGTGGGGGGGACGTTATGCTCCTTCCTGTATTTTCAAGTGTAACAGCTTGTTTCTCTTTTATACATCGAGGTTCTGCATAAGATTTTTATGGAAAAAAATGTTTCTGCTGTTAAAATAGAAAGTTTAAAACCAGTAGGCTAGAGTCACGCAGAAGTAGAATTGACAGATTTTTTTGTGAAATTGAGGGAAGGAAGGAGTTGGAGATGTCAGGAGTGGATCAATGGCACCATTGGTAAGGATTAAGCAGGAAGAACAGGGCTGGAGAAAATAGGAATTCCACTTCTGGAATTATTCTCAAAAGCAACCTGGGGCAGGGAGGAATAAAGCACATACCACATTTTAAACAGGATAATTATATAAAGTAGAAATATTTAATCCAAGGAGAGCTAAATTTTATTGGACTCTTAACTTTTAGCCACAGAGCGGCCGGTACTGCTGACAGGCCTGTGGGAGTCCTATCCTTGCTGAGTCCTGTGTCTCCACACCTCCTGAGAAAGAATCTTCTTTAGATAGTTCCTCCTTCCTCTTCCCCCTTTTGGGCTCCTGTCTATGGAAGGCAGATGAACCCAGGGCTTCCTGAGACCATCTACCAGCCAGGCAGACTGTGATGGTACCTCGCATCCCATAGGGTAGTGCAGAGTCCTGGACTTGGAATAGCTGAAAGACAGAAGATCTGGGCCTGAGAGATCCATGGGAGTGGGGTGGGGGGCTCCCAGGAAATGAATTCTCTTGGGATCTGCTGAATTTGAAGTGTCTGCGAAATATCCCGTCTAGTATGGGTCTGAAAATCAGGAGAGAGGTGGGGAATGAGATTGCGAAGAACAGTGTAGATTGAAAAAACTAACTGCAGGTCTCAGGGGAACAAGCACATGCAAGAGAGGTGGTAAAAGAGGTCAGAGACAGGAGGGGACCCTGGAGAGGGGAGCACTGAAGTGAACAGAGGACAAGAAGAGTGGGGACCAAGGCGTCCTTGGAGTTGACTCTTGGGACATGAGCAACCTCTAGGAGAGCAGTGTCCGTGAAGAGGGCAGAGTGAGTGCAGCACAGGCTTTAGAGTTGGGTAACTCCTGGCTGTTTATTGGTTGAGACCTCTGCAAGTTATATAATGTCTCTGAGCCTCAGTTTCCTAATCTGTAAAATGGGGATGATAACACATGCAAGGTCGTGAAATTAAATAACATTTGTAGTATCTTGCTTATAGTAGGCTTTATAAGTGTTTGTTTTCCTTTGCGCTGCATTTAAAGATTTTGAAACAAAGGGAAGGAAGCAGAGGTTGTTAGCTTGAGGAAGGTGGAGAGCAGAGTGGAAAGGGTGTTCCAGGTTAAGTGAGCTGTGTGCTTGACGGAAGGAGCCAGTGAAGAGGTGAGACTGAAGCTTGCAGTTCCCTAAGCGAGAGAGATTGGTATGTTTGAGGAGAAGGGCTGGAGAGCATGGGTTGAGGAAGTCCTCTTGGAAGAAGCAAGAAGAATGCGTGCGCCTCTGCCATCAGCAGGA